AACTTCTCCAAAGTGTCTTTGGACTGCAGCCAAGCAGGATATCACAATTGCAAAGTGTAGCTGCTTTATATACACTGACGACAATTAAGGGGTGCCTGGTCAAACTTGTGGCTTGCAGGGTTTGGCGCTTCGGCAGCCGAAGGCTTATCCTCCTTGTCATCCAAATCCATGTTGAAGCTGCCCAGACCCTTCTCGATGGCAGCCATGTCATCAGGCTCCTCGTCGACCTGAACAGATGCATCGCGAGAGGCTTGGCAAGAGCGGCTTCTACTGAAGTTCTGGGCTGTTTTCAACCGGGCCTCTTTGGATTTCTTATAATTCTCCTCGTACGACACGGCTCGTCGTCGCTTGCCGTGCTCGCGAACCTTGACCCAGTATTCCCACTCGCCGTCATACAAATTCTTCCTGGTTGGAATGCAAGGATTGGGGGAGATTTCTGTTTGGAAGGTTTGGGCTTCGAAGTGAGTCCTCAAACGAGGTTGTGTTCGGCTCGGAGGGATCTAGGTAGATTGCGGGGCTTCGAGTTTGGATATTGCCTTGTGTAGCAGTGTTAAGAAAGCTGGGGCTACGGGGTCCGCATGTATAAAGCTAAGGCTTCGAGGGCTGCCGGGTTTGTTCAGTTTGGATAAGCCAACAACATATATTGTTTAAGGCAACCAGCTTACACACATTACTATAGTTTCCTACAAAAGTAGATATATACAGACCCCACTATGTAAACATAATAAAAATATGTATATACACTTAATTAAACTTAAACACACACATGTATATGGTACCTATATAGAGATATGTACAGAGTGGTGTGTGTGTCTATATATGTACAGATAGATAGAGAGAGAGAGAGAGAGAGCGAGGGAGAGAGAGAGAGAGAGAAATAGGAGAGTGTGTGTGTGTGTGTGATTTTGGGTCAGCACAAACCAATTCTGTGGCTCTCAGTGATTTGGAAGTGTTCCTATTCAAGTTCCGTGCACTACGAAGTCGTGTTCGGGCTTTCAATATAATTGTTTGTTGAGAATTTTGTTGAGGCGGTTTCGCTAGCAAGGATGGTTTATATAGGTTTATATAGGGACTTAAAGTCGGGGAGATTCTACTGCCCTCAAAAAACAAAGATTCTACAGCCCTCAAAAAAGCCCCCATAGAGCCTGCAGTGGCTCTTGCCCAACGCTGTGCAACGGGCAACGGCACCGTCCGCCCGGGACCTTGGATAGAGGTTTGACATTTTATATAGGTGTCAAAGACTTGTGGCTAGCTTTAGACGAAGGTCTCGCTCCAACCCAGATCATCCATCATCTCCTGCTTAGTGTACCACCCCTCATCCACAAGGACCTCCTTTTCGTTCTTGCGGCTGACGGTAACTTCCATGCGCTTGATGAAGTCAGCCTGATTCAAGGGTTCTGTTTGGAGGAGTATATATAGAATCCATGACAAACATTTAGGAGCACTGTAGCACCTCGTGGGTTTCTTAAATGCTAACAGGTAACTCTATTGAAGTTCGCGTCCTGTAGCTGGCGGGCAATCTGGCCCTTGTCGCCTGACTGCCATTCCTTTTTCAGCCACTCAGGAACATCCAGTTCCTTCCGCCTGCTGTGGCTGCGGCACATTCTGTCAATCCTGGCTTTGGCTGCTCTGAGCAGCCTCTCCTTATGCAATTTAGCAAGCATACATTCAACGAGCTAGTTGCGGCTAATTGCTCTTGCTTGCTGCGTAAGATATCTAAGTGGCTTGTCTCGTTGGCTCTTTCGTCCGTGCTGCGCTTGGGTTCTGATCATCATCTTCGCACATCTGATACGGGTCGTCCTTGATACACATTACACCCTGTAGCATTGCCAGAATCTCCGCAGGCGAAGCCTCGGATCAACAACATCGTCATGCTGAAGAATATATGATCGTACAGAGTTCACAACAAGATGATTACGACAAGTAACAGTGTCCAGCTCATCCTCAACCGCCTGTTCCTCTTCGGCCTCAGCGAGCAGGATGCTTATTGTTGACGGGATTATGATGTGGATTCTCTAAGATTGTAGATGAGGTGCCTCTGGCGCAGAGGATTCTGGGGCAGGAGCTTCGGAAGGCTCAGGTTCAGATTCTTGCACACTAGCAGCCGCCTCCACCAGAGTGGCCGGCAAGTCCGCCAACCCTGCGGCTGCCAGCTCTTCCGCACTAGCCTCAATCAAAGCCCTATAAGACCCAGCCCCTAACACCCAACGTGCTTTGCAGACTGCTGATACCAGTATATATACCTTAAGAACCCAAAACCAACTTTTTTGTAGG